AAAAAAACAGAGATAAATAAGCAAGTATAGAGAGTGATATACTAAAAAAATAAAGAGTTTTAACATGTTCCTGATCCCATCCCATGAATCTAGCTTTAAGGGGAGAAATTAGGAGGGAGAAGAATGTAAAGGCTAGAGTGAAAAGAAAGAGAAATGAGTCTTTTTGGAAATCATAATGGAAAGAGAAACAACACGAACTGAATTTCACGGTATAGCTAAACCCCTCCACTCTATATCAACACATATTACTCAGCTATACAGGTCGAATGTGACTCCAGCAATGTTACCAGGTGGGCATCCAACTTCACTCTGATACCATTGTTAGTCCCAATGAAAATAATAGTAAATAAATAAAATTGAAATCGATAAACAACTTACTTGGATATGTCTTTAAATCATACGAGGGACCTAAAGTTCCATACCAAATTCTATAGACCAAGCCATCCGGTGACAGTCTATCTTGATAGTCCTCTTAGTGAATCTCGTTCACCTATTTTTAATCCTTCTGTCTTTTCTAGAGGTTAACCTCCTTTTTAGAGAACACCTTTATTTAGTAACTCTCACATTCATGGTCTATAGGAGTTGAGATCCCAGTATAACTTCTGCCTTAATTCGCTTAAGTGCAGCTAATTAGGATTAACAAGTTGTTACCAAACTGTTAATCCTATGTAATGAGCTAAATTTGTCATTAGTCCAATAATGACTCATATAGTAAGATGTCATCCAAGCATTCCTACAATTTACAAGGAATCCAAACACACCATTGGGTTTTCCTTCCAGTGATACATCCTATTAAAGCTAAAAAATGGATCAATGTATATGGCAGTGCCTCATGTTAATCACGGGGGATTTCATATATACTTAAATATGACTTTTGTTCCATTATTGAAAAATAAATAAATTTTCGAGAGAAAAAAGGCTTGATAGGCCACATTTCCAATCGGGAGGTGCAAACTTACGTAGGGACCATAGACATGAATAAGTATGCTACTAAATATATATGGTCCTTGATGGGCCTTCGAGGTATGAGTGGCAGTTGGTCGGGAAGCCCTAAAATCCTCCTTAATGGCCAAAAAAGTACTTGAAGCATGATAATAACATATACAACAGCTCGCCGAACACAATGCATAGATCCCTCACGTAGGACCATGGTAAGTTAAATGTTAGAAATATGCAGGAATCACCGAAACTAGATACAATCGATGAAAGTAGTCTAAGATAATGATCGAACATTAAAGAGCCCCATGAAATGAGAAAAAGAAGCTCGAGTGAAAATGAATGAGATTAGAGGTAGTTGTAGAGTCGAACTTGCCAATGAATAATCGCGAATGGAGCACAGTCAAACTTTCGTCAAGCCCACCCTGAAAGGTCATCCAAGAGTTCCAAATTCTAATCTACAGTATCCCGAAGTTTTTTTTTAAAAATCAAGTCATTCTGATATCGGATGGCTGAGATATGGGCTCACAAAGTTGAACACTACTAAAGGAGTGCAAGTCAGGGACCAAAATGGCCCCGACTTTACGAAGGAAACCCAAGAAATCGATGTCTAAATGAAACTTTTATGGAAGATAGATACTCTACTAAAAAGCTTTAAGTTCCAAATTTGCGCTTAATGTAGTGTCAGTAGATGCCATTTTCAAAGAGATTTTTAACGAGCCACCAAGGTACCACCAAATTAGTATACATAAAATATCATAATGTATAGAAAACGTCCATATAAAGTTGCAACCTTAAAATATAGAATTAAAGATGCACCTCAAAAATCCATCGGGTAAAGTTGTTTTAATGTTGAAAAATTCTCTAATTAATAATCTCGACATCGAGATGTATGAATATGAAGAAAAAAAAAAACTTTTGAGTCCAATAAATAGTGCATCATATAACACAGTATCTAGACTGTCCATTTTCAAGATTTTCATATGTTTATAGATTTACTTGATTTTAACTATTTTTGAAGTTTAAAATTTTGTTAATCTTAAGAATTTTTTATACCAAAATTACATGTTATGATAAAATTCGGAGGTGTCCCTTAATTGAATTGTTTAAATTTGCAACCTTATATAACACCACACCCTAACATGGATTACATTCTACATATGGAGTTATTGTAATATTCCATGATAAGTAGAAGGGCCTAAAAATGCTCTTCTATGAGGAATCACATAGCGATGAAAGAAATAATGAACTCGACGTGTACTTTGAAAACTTTTGAACTTTTCACAAACTTCGATATTGAATAAAACTTTTCTTCAAGAGTCGCTTAATCCTTCCAAACTCAAAATTTTGAAATGTTAGCCGTTGAAATTTGAAAAATCTAATCTAGTGGTTTTCTTCTAGTGTAACAAAAACATTTGCAAGTTGAATGGTCTTCGCGTTTTCCAATACGTATCAGCGAAGTAAATAAGAGAGGACTAATTCTTTTCCATTAGGTCCATTTTCTCAGCGTTTATACCATGCTCTCACGAGAGTCTAGTGTGTATTTACTCCCTCAGATCAAAGGAACGTTAGTTCTAGATGATTATTTCCAAACAAAATATATTTTAAATTGTTAATGCTTAGATCTGTTTAGGGGTGACAATCTAGACCCGGGATCCGACGGGTATACCCGACCTCTGGTCTCGTCGGTATGGGTCTAAATTTTTTTACCCCAATATACCTGTAGTCATAGGGTATATAATGGCAAGCATGTGTTTCGCGGCAGACACTAGATGTTCATATTGTCACAATATTAACAACATTTATAATATTACTGGCCAAAAAAAACTCATAGTCATAGGGTATATGATGGTAAAAAAGGGGCAAAAAAAACAAGAAAAAACTCATAGTCATAGGGGGGCAATGATCCGACCAATCTCGGGACCCGGCAAGCATTAGGTCCAAACTTTGGACCCACATACTTTTCAAGTCCAGAGCTAGGTCCATCCATACCCGACCCGTTGCCACCCCTAGATCTGTTGGATATGGTTTTTAGGGAAATTTATTAATTCATACGTAAAATTAAATTTGAAAAGCCATAGTCATGTATCATTTCATGGCTATCAGAAATTTGTATTATTTCAAAATAAATGGAGATACTAAAGAGCTCAAGTTTGCACTTGATTTGATAATGGAAAAAACTTATATAAGGTTGCAATTTTATAGCATAGAAGTAAGAAGCACCTCAAAAATCTAGTAGAAAAGATTGTTTTCAAGTTGGAAAACCTTCCAATTGACCATCATGACCTCTAGATATAAGGACACAAAATAATAATAATAATAATTCAAGGCCTAAAAAGACTACATTTTGTTAAAAGTTATCCTGCCTATCTATTTTCAAGTGGTTATAAATCCATTAGGTTTACACTTTTTAAAATTTTGAAATTTCATAATTAGGGTTGAACATGGATTGTCAAACTATTAAAAGGTTTTCGACACTGCAACTACATCATTCGACAAACTTTTAAAGTGTTTAATGCACTCTTAAAAGGACGTGGCTTTATGCGCGTAAGCCCGCAAGCCTGCACACCATCTAGCCGTCCAACTTAATTCGCCAATGGCAATTGTAGGCTCGGGGTGCAATCCACACCATCCAAAGAAGTTAGACAAGCTTAAATGGCACGCGGGACTGCAGGGTAGCCCGCATGAAACAATTTACCCTCTTAAAAAGCTAGTAAGTAGTTTGAGGTTATACACCGTGAGCTTGGGAATCCCAAAAATTGGGGGCGGCAATGGACCGACCAGACCTCGGACCCGTCGGGTTGATCCGACTTCGAGTCCAAGAATGGGTCCAAATTTTGGATCTCAATACTATGCTAGTCTTGGTCATAGGGTATTGATGGCAATCATATGTCTTTAAACATGCATACTAGGTGTTTATATTGTCAGAATATTGGCAACATTTATAGACCCGACTCCGACGGACCCCCGTTTTTCATAAGATATATGATGGAAATAATGTATCTTTAGGTGCTCTCTAAGTGTTCATATTATCACAATATTGGCACTATTTACAGTATTATTGGCAAAAAAAAAAAAGATGCTCACATGGTTAAAGAAAAAAAAAAAAGAAAAAACCTCATAATCATAGGGTGGCAATGGATCCAACCAGACTCCAAACCCGACGGATAGAGCCAGGATCTGACAGGTCTGGATATGGGTCCAAATTTTGGACCGAAAATACTATTCGGATATGGGTCCGGGTCCAGCTAGACTGGAACCGTACCTGATCCGTTGTCACCCCTATCTAAAATACCCCATAAAGAATTAGAAAAAGGATCCGGCTTCTATGTGGCCAAGCCCGGATATGTAGAAATGTAGGCCTCTCAATAAATCTATTTTTGAGATGGATTTTAGGACTTAATTTTTAAGGACACGTAATCTCTGACATAGAGATCATGAATATGAAAAAATAAATAAATTTTAAAATCTAGAAATAAAAATTTTAATAGGAAAGCATTTGGACCATTAGTTTCCATTGTTTTTAGATAAAAAAACCTACTTGCATCTATCTTTAAAATGAATGATATATACTTTCTGGATCGCATAGGTAGAAATGGGCTGCATGGAACAGTTTTCTTTCAAAAAAAAAAAACTCTCGGGAACACCCTGTTTTTTGACTCTTCTACTATTTCCGTGGTCCACGAGGAAACGGTAGGATTTTAAAACGGTAAAAGGAGAGAAATTTCGCACCAATTACGGGAGGGAAAGAAGAGAGCTTCGAAGCGCGTGACAAATGCAACGGCGTGTGCGCTAATTGCGCGATGAAAATAAAAGATTGAATAGAGAGAGGAAGTGGTGGTCGATGTATCCTCCATTCAAAGAGTCTTATTTTGAAAGAAAATCGAGGAAATGGCCCAAGTTAGAGTGAGAAGACGAGGACGGCATTTGATTGGTTGGATGACGTGTAGGCGGCGGACACGCGCTTCGTGAAGGTCGTCGTGCCAAACTCTTCAGCGGGCCGCCTGCCGGTCGTATTTTTGTATTTTATGTGGAGGTAAATGAAAGCAAATTTTGGTATCCCGCTCTCTCATCCAAAATAAACTCTAAAATTTATCCATTTCTCTCTCTACCAAGATAATCCTCTTATATAAATCTCTTCTTTTGCGCAGGAAGAATATCGTCCCCTTTTTTTCTCTCTGAAAATTAGGTACAATTTATTTAACATAATATCTTTGGATTTCTCTGCAATGGATGAAGATATCAGCTGCTTCTCAGACTTGTTTGACATCTCTGACGAAGAAATTGGAGCTCCGATAATATTTCATGAATTTGGGCTCCATCAAAATTTGGATACCGCAGACCAACTCATCTTCGATATTTTCGAACCACAGGACTTCCCTCTTCTCCAGCCCACCTCCATCTTCGACCTCTCTGACTCCAACAAGTCTAATGAATTCTGCCCCTGTCCTGAAAACAGCGATTTCTGTTCTGGTGATTCTCATGAATTCATCCGCGAAAACCGCAACTTTAGCTCAGACGGTTCTCATGAATTCAGCCAAGAGAGCGGCAATTTTGATTCGAAAGACTCGCATGAATTCAGCGGTGAAAACTGCGGAAATATGCAGGCTGAATCCACAGAAAAACACAGGAAAAAACCGGTCACCAACTTTTATTTGAAGCCATTCATCCGGCGAAGAACACGAAGCAAGAGGAGAAGGCGGGCGGGGCCTGCTCTTAGTAAGTTGTGGCGTGGGGTAAGAGGCAGCGGCGAGGTCCGCAGGTGCGTACACTGCTTGACGCAGCGGACCCCGCAGTGGCGGGCCGGCCCGCTTGGGCCGAAGACACTGTGTAATGCCTGTGGGGTGAGGTATAATTCCGGAAGGCTATTTCCGGAATATCGACCGGCGGATAGCCCGACTTTTATTAGAGAGATTCACTCTAATAGTCACAGGAAGATTGTGGAGATGAGGAAGAAGAGGTTTCAAGTTTCAGTTCAATTAGAGGAGAGGAGCTCAAGTTCTTGATCATTCTTGGGACATTTTTTTTTGTGATTGGGGAATCATTTGGGGATGATATTTTTGAAAGTGGATTGCTTTTGATTCACTCAAAGGGTAGAAGTTTAGCAAGGCCTAGGGTAGGTTAGAGTTTATATTCATTCAATTCGTATAATATTGGGTTTAGGTTGAGATTATGAGGAGCATGCTTGGGGTTTAAATGGGACTTAACTACCTAGTAATGGTTTGCTAATGACACTAAAGTAGGAGTGATTCTATTCTCTAAATTTTATTTTTGATTTTGATGGGTGGAAGGGGCTTTGTGATGGGGGGTTTTGGTATTTGTCCACTAGATAGGAATTTTTGAAAATAAACCCTCGACACTAGGACTAACAAAATAGAATTTTTGAACCACGGTTTTTATATGGGATTACATACAAAGAGACTATTTATCTTTTGTAGGCGACAATCATTCCCACCTATTAGATGTCAAATTGGATGGCTTGGGGTGAATAATAAAGTGTGAGAATTTTTTTTTTTTAGAACTTTGCGTCTATTCAATAATACTCTTACAACTACCCATTTTGAAATTTAAAGGACAAAAATGATTGTGACTTTTATGTACAAAAAACGATTGATCTCTGACAATCTCTTTTGATATTCATTATTAATATAAGTAATAATTAGTAATATTGAATTCTTTTTACTTCTCTTACTCGAAAATTTTTACTTTGTCCACCGTGTTCTCTAATTGTGTATTTATATGTGTGTAGTTTTATTTTTCTTGAGCATTTATTTTGGATTGAGCAATGACCTAATCTTAAACGATAATATCTCTCTCTCTCTCTTAAAAAGCTACCACAATTGCTCGAGCCCTCAAACATGGAGTTCAGCCCAATTATGAATAAAATTTTTGTGGTGATTAGTTGCAAATGTAAGAAAAATTGTACAAGAGGATATGAAAATAAACCATCAGATACCTTTCAAATGCTCATACAAATCACACCCTCATACAACCAACTCACAACCATTTTGAATAATTGGAAAGGTAAAATATTCTTGGATTAATCGGACCAATAGACGAAGCGGAAGCAAAAATTAAACAATTGGGAACCAAATATCACACATTTTAGTGACCAATTTGAAGAGGAATGATCAACTCGCATAGGCAAGTTTGACCACTACTAGAGCTACCAAAATCAATTCTACACCGCAAATCTCGAGGGAGATGGAAGCTCACAAATGCAATACGATGAGCAGCTCAAACTTGACTCATTCACACACAACTTTTTATCTCTTAGGGCCAGGTCTCTCCTCAGAGCTCAAGTGGGAGAGTGATTGTACTCTCTTTCTCTCATTCAAGAGAAGCTCTCACACCCTTTATCAAGTATGTTGTGTATATAGAGACCTTCACCCCTCCCCCTTTCATAATAGGAGAAAACTCTCTCTCATTCATCTGAGAGTAACCTCTTCATGAATAGAAACCGTTAGAATATATGATGCATGCCATTCATGGGAAGCTAACCCCTTATGAAGAGGTGAAACTTCTCCCCATCTCCCCTCTTATAAAGTATTGTAAGTTATGAAGGAGTGTGGTCCACATGGGTGTGCCCTCCTACTAGGAACACACCCGCATGTCTACATCTCTCACTCATACCGTATGTGGAAGGTATAATGTGCCCAAATAAGACTTGTTGTTCATTATTACATTGTGAGTATTTTTTCATATAATGGGAAAATACGACGTGCGACCTACTAGAACAAACATTCTGTTAAAAATGATCATACCAAGTTCGCAACCAACTAGCATGGAACTCCTCATTTCTCCAATACCTGAAAAATAAAATATGCTTCACCTTCCATAGACACGATTTGACTATACTGGACTAAGTTTCCAACTAATCCCTCATGAGCCTAACTCTTAAGATTATTTAACCCATTCCTACACAATTACTGTCAATGCGCACGCAATGTGTATCGTTTTCTCGTGCTTTTAAAACAGAGTGTGATATCAAATAGTCTTCTCTTACGACATACATAATTATACTTTGACCCGATTATTGTCTTAACAATGTCTCAGACAAGTATCATACTTGTCTTTAAGGAGTACATACCAAAGTGAATGATCGAAGCAAAGTTTCATAATGCAGTTTAAGGTCTATGAAGCCACCATGGGTCAACTACTTATTGGCTTTACAAAGTGGCAAAAAGGAACATGGTGGAAAAAAATCATTTTCCACAGTAGTATGTGTTTTGGTAGCTAATATAGTACGTGTAGTATGAATCACACATCTTGGTGGATCACATCAAATCTGCATCGGTATCTACCATGTAGGTTATAGTCTCTTTGCAACTATGTAACCAGTCGCCACAGAATACCCCATGGTCACATCCATGCGACAACTTGAACATCCCTAATGTTCATCCCAAGCTACTTACATGCTACATGATCTTAGGGATGACAATATAAATAGATCATGTCAATTCCCTTATGAAATCTCATCTCGAATCTTTGATCGACGTGATAAACATACTATGTGTCCAATATACCAGAGATTGAGAGTAGCTTGTGTGAGCAATGAGTTTTAGCTTGTTGACGAATTAAAGATAATGTCACACTATTGTGCATTTGTGTATATTAAAGTGTACAAATCATCTATCATAACACAAAATAACATCCATATTCCATTACAATAGGGCATCAAGATCCTACAGTGTGATGTAAACTCATAGGGGCCTGAGGCCTATATTTTTTACATGAATATGATGAACATGGCTGACAATGGCCTTAGTCATGGGATCCAACACCATTTTAGTTGTAGGAATATGAGTTAACACCATTTCAGACATAATGATATCTAACATCAATGTGCTTTGATACTTCGTGGTACTTGAAGTTTTTTGCAAAAGCAAGTACCACTGTATTATCATAAAATATAGTGACAGACTCATTAGTAGTTGCAACAATAACTAAGTTCCTTAGGAATCTCCTCAATCATACAACTTCTTATGTTTCTCTACTACAAGCAATATATTCAGACTCCATAGTGGAGAGAACAACACATGACTGCTTCTTGCTACACCATGATATCGCACCACCTCTTAGCAATAAGATATAGACCAACATTGATTTATGTTCATCTAGGTCTGTTGCCCAATCAGCATCAGTATATCCCCATAACCGTAAATCGATTTTCTATAAATATAGCATTTAACTCGAGATTCATAGAAAAATCATCTTCACTGCTTGCTAGTGGCCTTGTCCTAGATTACTCTGGTATCGGCTAACGAGACCTACTATGTAGGCCATATTTAGACGCGTGCAGATCATTGCGTACATCAAAGTACCAACCACATTTCCATATGGAACATGTGACATTTTATTGGACTCAGTTTCTGTCTTTGAACACATATCGAGACGAATGGTATACCATTTCTCAACTAGAGTATTTACGGGTTTTGAGTCTTGCGTAGGGAATCGCTTAGAATAATTTGGATATATGTTTGTTGTGACATAGCAAGAAACTTTTGAGAACGATCGTGGTGTATCTTAACACCTAGTAGGTAACTTGCCTCACCCATATCCTTTATCTCAAATTTGGAGGACAACCACTCCTTTGTGTTAACAAGTTGCTTCAGGTGATTCCTAGCTAATAAAATATTGTTAACATACAAAGACTATTTGGATGTTTTTCTTATACTTCTTAATGTATACACCAATGGTTTAAAAAACGGATCGGTGACCCGGATCGGGCTCCCAAAAAATCGATCCGGATCGACGAATCGGCGATCCGGATCGGGAATCGGGTGAATCGGTCAGAATAAAGCTTAAAAAAAATCCGAAAAAATTATTAAAATTCATTATAAATATTGTTTTTTAGGAATTCAATAAGAAATGAGGGTACTCCATTAAGAATTTTCATGTTTTTGAATGAATATGTGAATATTGATATGTTCTTTCCCTGTATGAACCGCCATTCAGCATTTAATTTACATCACACAAAAGGATAAACATAGAATTAATATGGAATAAGTATATCAACATACATGGACTACAATAAAGCATTAAATTAGTAATATATGATCTAAAAATAAAATGATAGACGACGTTATTGTTCTTCTTGGTCACGCTGATGCCATTGATTAAATTCGTTTAACGATTCATTGATTCGATCTAAAAACGAATCATCGATATTAGCAAACGTCTGACTATTTCCAAATCCCTGAGTGTTAGTGTTTTGTTGTGTTCCCAATCTAAAATCCCCGAAGATTGTCCATCCTTCATGCTCACCTGCACTGTCGTGCTCATCCCTACACTGTTGCTGTTGGGACTCGATATGTGAATAATATGGTTGGGATAGGGTGGCCTCAAAATCATCATCTCTCTCATTTTTTCTTTGAATAATATGAAATTAAAAAAAAAAAAACAAATTTTCAAAAAATTCGATCATGGATTAAAAAAAAAATCACAAATTTTCAAAAAATTCTATCATGGATT